GTATTAGGGCTTCAATTTCTTCACATCCTTGTTATTTTGGAGGATTATATCCATTCTAATGAGTGTGAGGTCGTCAAAGCGGGATAAAAATGTATGAACTAAACTGAAACCGGAAACAGAATTGAAAATATTCTCAGGGCTCTGTTTCTGGCTGCCTGAACACACCCCTGTTCCCTTCTACAACCCTGGGGCTTTTATCATTGTACTGACTGACTCTGCTTACTTGGGTTTGTTTTTTTTTTTTTTTTTTTAATCACTTTTGCCACCTCATCACTTTGACTTGCATGTGGTTCATCACGGCTACTCCAGTCCATTCTATAAGTTGTGATTTCCTGAACATCATTTCAACCTTAATACTCTGTAATACCCACTTAGAACTCTTACTTTTCCAGTACTGAATCTATGACAGAAAGCACTGATTATTCTAATTTATCATTTGATCATGGTCCAATAATGGATTGATCTATGGTTAGGTGACCTGGTCTGGTCTGGTACACATGATCAGAAGGGTAGAGTCACTCTGAGAAATGATACTCTTCCTAGAAGTGTGTGTATGTAGTGAGCAATGATTTGCATATACTCTATGGTGTCTTCATCAGACTTCCCTTTATCAAGCCACTAGATACTTGCTATGTAAGAGGTGTTAGGACAATCATGGTTAGCTAATATCTATCATTTATTAAGCACTTAAAATGTACCAAACACTGGTCTAAGAGACCATTATACTGTGGGGCACCACCAAATGATAGCACCACTCCCAAGAAGAATTTTGCAATGTGGTCAGAGATGAGACACCTAACCCCCAGAAGACATTTGAAAGGCAAAACACTAACAGCAAAGGGCCTCCCTGGTGGTGCAAGGGGTTAAGACACAGCACTATGAAGCTATCTGCAGCCACTGCAGCATGAGTTAAATCCCTGCCCAGAAAGGTACCCACATAGCGCAGCAGACCTCTCTTGGCTCACCCGCTGCTCCCCTCAGCAGTGTATTTCAGTGAGTCTGCCTGTTCTGTTCCCCACTCTGTCTCTGGTGAATCCTCTTATCCCCCACACGTCTGGCCTGTACCCCAGCTCTTGTATGCATAAATAAATAAATCTTTAAAAAAATCAGTAACAGCAAAACTATTATATGTAATTTCCTGATTAACTTCCCAAAGAGTGATATAGATAGTAAGTACTATACTCTGAGGGAATGCTGTAGTGAGTCATTATCTAAGAAGCCTTTATGGAGGACTTGGTCTAGAAATTTAAGGATAGGCAGGTTTCAAATGCTTACAGAGGACGGAGAAAACAATTGATTATTGAACAAATATTTACTGGATGTATTAAGTGTGGTCAGGCGCTGTTCTAGGAGCTAGAGACATAAGAGAAGAAGGATATTCCCTTAAATAAGCATACAATCCAGAGAAAAATAGATACACAAATAGAGAACAAATGTAGCATCAATATAAGAAAATGATAATCTTTGTTTCCAGAAAACCCTAACATTTTTATATCACAAGAAGTTTGAGTAAGAGAGATATTCTTTGGCAATTAAGGCAGCACTTGCTGCAGATTACTCTTTCTTGGGAAAAGATGTCCTCTTTAAGCCTCACAGAAGTTATCTGTCATCTCCATGGATCTGGCATCACCTATCCCTGAGTGAGATAGAGAAGTTGTAGGCTGTTCTTGGGTTACCTCTTAGAGTCCTCCTCAAAAGCTCGCTCAATGCTGCAACTTTCTAGAGGCAGATGGCCAGAGGCAGAAGCCCTCGTCTCTGCCTAAGAATACAACAAAACTGGTCAAAGGGAAGAGGAAGAAACTGAAATCTAGAGGGGAAAAACAGATCTTTCAGATGCACAAAACGTGCTAAGTCCAGTGTGACATAACCTTTCATGGAACAAACCACATTCGCTGGTGTGCTTAATAGTCTCTGACCAAATAGAAACCCTGCAGTGGAGAGATGATAAGAGATTTGAGGCTAGGGAAGATGAATTTCTATATAGAAATTGTGTTTTTTATGTTTTCTATTTGTCTTTTTTTTCTTTTTTAAAGCATGAACTGTTGGCTTATTATAACACTTAGTGTTGAAAATGGTGAAGATCCATATTCTAACGCCGAACAAGCATTCTCATTTCTAATAACCCAAGTTTTAATGATTCCACAGGCCTTAGTAAACAAACAAAATACCTAGCTAATTCCACATAATATCATCAACAAGTCATCTTCTAGGAAAGTCCTGATGTGACCTTCACATTTTATTATCTTCTTGCTCTTAATCTAGACTTTTTGAAAGTTTAGAATATAAATTTCTAGCCTGCTAAAATGAGGAATACTTAGTTCAGAAGCAAAACAGGTCGTTCTTTGGAACAAAGTCTGCAGCTTTTTTTCTGGCAGGTTTTAGGGAGATAGTTCCCATGGAACTCACATCAGAGCAGCTTTGGAAAAAAGGAATCTGAACTTGATCCCAGATAAGCTGGGGGAAACGGAAAAGCAAGGAGGTAGACACACTTACTTATTTCACTACCTTTACATTGTGATGAGGTCCTTATCCTTGCCTTTCCCTCAAGCCCCATAAACCCCTACAAGGGGGCAGTGGGATCAGATCATACATTTAAATTATCTTCAAAGATGTCAAGCAATTCCAATTTTAATACAGCAACTTTCAAAAGGAGCAATAAATCTCCAAATGGGAAGAGAGGCTTTCCAAATTTTAGCTGTGGAAGACTGATTATGTATTTAGCTTTGGAGCTGTGTAAAGCTTTGTTAGGCAAATCAGTAACCAATCCATCTTTCCTAGCCTCAAATCTATAGCTTCTATTTATATTCAATGAATTTTCTAGGACTCTAAGAGCAAACTTCTTAACATGGTTATCATCAGTCCTTTGCATAACATCTGAGGAGCTAACAACTTGGTTGAGTTGATGGCAGACTTTTCACTTGGACAAGCCTCACGACTATAATGGAAATCCAAAGGCCTGGAAACAATGTACATAGCTTCCCTGACTAATTTTATTATTCAGACACTTAATGGCTCCTGTTACAATCACATATGGGGTGGGAAACAGTACTGGATTGTGACGATCACACTAAATCGACAAGGATTATCAGTCATTAAAAAAGGAACCAAATTAGCATCAAGCAGTAATATTTTATACTTATCAAATCTTCTGCTGGTCAAGGTCCATTACTGAACGACATCATAAAGGCAGGAGCCATCAGTTCATTCCCCAGAACATTTAAATCTCTATTGTATTTGTGTAGGATATAATTTCTGATAGCAATAAAGCCTAATAAAGGTTACACCCCAATGAATAAAGTGTTAATAAATTGACCCATGACATTTAAATGGATAATTATATTTGAGATAAAGTAAGAATCTCTCATTTCCATGAAGAAGTGCTTCAAGTTGTATCCAACCTAAGTTCCCCATCAGCTATAGGATGGTTTTATATGATTTCACAATAATGAAAATATTAATATTGTTAATATTTATGAAAATATTAATATTGTTAATATGTCCAACAACACCATAGTATTAGATTCATTATTCATCAGGCTTTCTGAACAACTCCTGTCTATCAGGATCATTAAAATTACATTTTAAATGTTTCTAACATGTTAAGCAACTCTCTGGAAATGAACTATTACCTCTACTTCTAATCAAAATTTAGAAATGCCAGGGTTTGTCACCCTGTAATTAGGCTTTACCTTCACATGACAGGGGAGTATAAAGTAGAATCAGGAAGTGATTGGGAAGAGACTGAGAGAATTGTTATTGAAAGTGTTGTATTGCATTCAACTGGGACAGTTTCACTTATGTACTTATGCCTCTCAGTTCTCATTATACTGGTGTCACAGAAAACTACAAAATCTATCTGGGAAAAGCAAAACAAAGCAGGAGTACTGCAGGGGTTATAAGCATGTCTGTCTATCAGATGCTTAGATAAAGCTTTGTCTTTGTATTTCCTGTACTGCATTGGGCCCAGGGAAAAAAAGACACACAATTAATGCTAACTTGTTTCAGTAATTAACTAATATTTGTGTATTCATTTAACAATTATTTATGCACTTATATAGTTATTAGACTCTCTTTTGCTGGAATCTGCTATGTTTTCTCACATAAATTGAATACAGAAAAGGTTATGAATACCAAGAACAAATTCCACAGAAACCAGTTACCAAAAATGCCATCTCTTTTAAAGCAGGGACTGGTTTTTATTATTCTTTATATGCCAGGTGCTTAGCAAAAAGTCTTGAGTAAGTGAATTTCTTTTCCAGTACTATAATGGAATAGAAACTATAAATATATTTATCTTGGTAAATTACAGAAACCCCATTAGAAATGCATTGTTGAGCTGGAAATAAAGTATGAAATCCTCAGATGCCAAAAATGTTGTAGAAGTGGGAACCACAGAGCAATGAAGCCAGCTTTCATTCTGGAGAACTTCTGATAAATTTTGTAACTTGGAGCTTCCACTTTGACTATTTGCAGCAAAAGGGAGACAGAGGAGAAAACTTATAGCCTAACCAAAATGGAGAATCTATCTTGTGTATCTAGGATCCTAAAGAGTTATATAATCAGGGCCTCCCCTGGTGGCACAGCGGTTGAGTGCTGGGCTGCGAGGCTGCCTGCAGCCTCTACAGCACTGGTTCATTCCCTGGCCACCAGCAAGGGTCCCACAAATATATATATATATATATATATATATGTGTGTGTGTGTGTGTATATGGGGCACTGTTTGAAGCAAATATTAAATCCTCTATAAAGGAACATACTTTAAATAAAAACTTTCAAAATGTTCATGAAATGTTAGTTCACACCAAAATTACCATCATCATCATCATCTTTAGCATCATCAATAAACAACAAAACATTGAAAAACATGAAAATGTTAAAGAGAAGGTAAGTAGGGATATAGAATAAAAATGTCTTATATATATAAGAATAACAGAAAGAGGTAAGAGGGATTCAAACAGATAATGGGTAAAAGGCTTTCAGAACTGACAAAAAACACTAACCTTCTCATTCCAAGAGTCCAAGAATCTCAACAGGATAAATAAGAAGGAATTCACCTGTGGACATAAAAATGAAAATTTAAACAATCAAAGAAAAGGAGAAGGCATTAAAACCAGCAATAGAAAAAAGACAGTTTATCTACAATGTAATGATATTTAGACTGACCGCTGATTTTTCAACAGCCACAATGCAATCCAGAAGACAATGGAATTATCTAATGCTCTGAGAGGAAATAATGTTAAAATAAAATTCTATACCCATTGAAAATATCTTGCAAATAAGAATAAGGTAAAGATGAGCAAAAACACAGTTTTCCATCAAAATACCAATACAAAAGGAAATTCTAAGTGTGTCCTTCAGGAAAAGGAAAAATGATCCCAAATGAAAGTTTGATATTTAAAGAGAAACATAAACCCAGAAATTGATAAATATATACTGAATAGATAGTCATAAATGAAAATTTACTCCATAAAAATAACATTTATCTAATTTTGGGGATTGATACAAATTATATATAACTAAGTTATAGGAAGAAAATAGCAATAAGTTAAGATGGAGATGATCAGAATTAAAATGTTTCATGTTCCTTTTATTGTTTGGAGAAGAGTACAATATTTTAACTTTGTATTTAAAAAATGTTAATATTAATCTAAAAATGTTAATAAAAATGTTTAATATTTAGGTGAAGGATATATATAAGTATAAAGGATAGAAAGGATAGAAAGAGTATAAAATACCCAGCTTTGGAGAGAGTAAAAAGAGAATGAGGGAGAGAAATATGAGCAAATCTTAAAATGGCAAGAAAGGAGGAAAAAATAAACAGAATAGGAAGGACATGTGAAAACCATAAAATAAGAGAACATAAATTAATCCAAACATTGCTCTAACCACAATAAATTGAAAATATTAAATTATCCAGTTAAATGACAAAGATTCTCAGAGTGGACTAAAACATGACAATCATAAATAGTTATAATAATTCTTAATTCTTTTTTTTTAAAGATTTATTTATTTATACAAGCACTGGGTACAGTCAGAAATGCAGGCGGGTGAGAGAATTCACCAGAGCCAGAGCAGGGAACAGAACAGGCAGACTGACGAAATACACTGCTGAGGGGAGCAGCGGGCACAGCAGGAGAGGTCTGTCGCACCATGTGGGACCCTCGCTGGTGGCCGGGAATCGAACTGGTGCTGCAGAGGCTGCGGGCAGCTTCCCAGCCCAGCGCTCAACCACTGCGCCACCAGGGGAGGCCCCAATAATTCTTAATTCTTAATGACTATGTAATTAATAATGTTACTTCAAAATGTGTAAAGTAAAATTGATAGAACTACAAAGAGAAGTGGCCTTAACCTTTCACAATTATTCATAAGACAGATAACCAGTAAGGGTACACTTGAACTCTACATAATTAACAAACATCATCTAATGGATAAATAGAAAACACTGCATATGACAATGCACATACTTATGCATCAGTTTTCTATTGAAGCCACAACTAAATTACCACAAACTTAGCAGTTTAAAGCAACATAAATTTATTTCCTCATTTTACAGGTAAGAAGTCCATAAAGGTCTCACTAGGCAAAACCAAGCTGCCAGGACTACTTTCCTTATTGAAGGTCCTAGGAGAGACTATGTCCCCTGGCTTGCTCAGGTTGTTAGCGGAATTCAGCTAGTTTTGTGCTGTTGCTGGACTGAGGTCTCCATGTCCTTCATGATTGTTCACCTAGGATTGTTCTCAGCTTCTAGATTGTTCCTTGTTCCTTGATTCATGGACTCCTTTGTCTTCAAAGCCTGCAATGGCAGTCAAGTCCTTCTCACAATTCATCTCTTCTCTTCCATCATATCTCTGACTAAAATGAGAAATCACTCCATCTTTAAGGGCTCATGAATTTAAAATGGCCCACAGGATAATTTAGCATAATCTCCTTGTTTCAAGGTCTATAACTTTAAGCCATTTCCAAAGTTCTTTTTGGATGTTGGGTAATAAGTTCTGTGCCTCAGGGCATTGGCATCTTTGAGAAGTCATGATTCTGCATACCACATGTTCCAAAGTTAGAACATACAAAATTGTACTCACAAAAGTTCATAAAACAAATGTCTATAAAATTCACATTCTATAACCAAAATGAAACTAGCTTTTTAATGTTTTATTTATTCTCTTACATCTTTGTTAATTTTTGGATAGTATTTTATTTCTCTGCACAGGTATAGTCACCATAGTTCTCCCACCACTATATCACCTGTGATCTATCACTATAGTCCCTGTGCTCTTCCCTCCCCTATTTTGAGCCCTCCTACTCCCCCTCCCCTGCCACATGCCTCAGATCTATGGTCAACTTGCTAGTTTTGTCTTTTTCCCACCAACACTTTATTTGGTTTCTCTGTATTCTGCATATAAGTGAAATTATCAGTATTTATCTTTTTTCTTTTGACTTATTTCACTTAGCATAATCCCTTCCAGCTCCATTCATATTGCTGCAAATGGCATGCATTTGTCTTTTTTGATCACTGAGTATATACATCACAACTTCTTGATCCATCCATCCTTTTTGGGGCAATCTTGGCTATTAAATTATTTTTGTTGCAATAAATATAGGAGTGCAGGTTTCCTATTGAATTAGTGCTGTTATGTTCTTTGGGCAGATTCCTAGTGGAATTTCAGTGGAATTGCTGGGTCATGATGGTATGGTAGTGTTTCGAGGCACCTCCACATAGTTTTCCATAGTGGCTGGACCAGTTTACATTCCCATCAGCAATGTAAGAGGGTTCCTTTTCCTCTACATCCTCACCAGCATTTGTTGTTTCTGTTTTTTTTAATATTGGTCATTCTCACAGGCATGAGATGACATCTTACTGTGGTTTTGATTTGCATTTCCTTGATAATAAGTGACGTTGAACATGTTTTGATATGCCTGCTGGTCATGTGGGTTAAAATGAAACTTGTTTTAAAAACAACAGAGTGATAAATAGAAATACCAAACACTTAGAAATTAACAGAGGCACTGCTCATGGTCAAATGGAACATCTATTAGAAAATATTTGAGGTGGAGTCTAAAAAAATAGTGCAGTTAAAGTTTTTTTTTTAGATTTATTTTATTCATTTATGCATACAAGAACTGGGGTGTAGGCCAAAGGTGCAGGGGGTGAGAGAATTCACCAGAGACAGAGTGGGGAGCAGAACAGGCAGATTGACTGAAATACACTGCTGAGTGGAGCAGCGGGTGAAACAGGAGAGATCTACTCTGCCATGTGGATTAGCTCCTTGGGAGGGGATCAAACTCTTGCTGTAGTGACTGGCAATAGCTTGATAGAACTGAGACTTTAACCCCTGTGCCACCAGGGAGGTCCAGTTAAAGCATTAATTAGAGGGAAATTTATAGCTTTAAATGGTGAAAGGAAGTCTAGAAATAATCTATAATTATCATTTCTCATAAGATGTAGGCAAAAGAAATGGATAATACTGTGTGAAGGCATACCTGAAGAAGAACATAGTTGGGGACTTGGTTTACGAGGTATTTAGGCAATAGTAAAGCTTTAAGACCTAAGGCAGGTGGGAACTGGCAGATGAATAGATACATAGACCAATGGAACAGACCATATTGCTGAGAAACAGACCCACTCACACACAGTGGTCGAGTTTACGGCAGAGCTGGTATTGTAGATGAGTGGGGAAGAGAGGCAGTAACACACAAAAGAGCCTGGGATGACTTATTATCCATATGGAAATAATGAATTTGGACCCTTGCTTCATACCAGATGCAAAATGAACCCACAGAATCATAGGTGGATTAAAGACTTACTTACATATGAAAAGCAAAACAATTATTTTTGAAAACAACACTGTAGAATATCTTTATATTATCAGTGAACGGAAACATTTCTGAAAGTTCTAAAAAATGCACCTCATAGTGGAAAATATTTATATTTTGGAATCTTAAAATTAAGAACTTCACATCAAAAGTCACTATTAATGTGAAAAGGCAAGCCTCAAATCTAGAGAAGACATTTGCAACATATAAAACATGCAAAGCATTAGACTTCAGATTATTTAGTAAAACACATGCCTATAATTCAATAAGAAAAGATAACTCAATAGAAAACTAGGAAAATGTTTCAAACAGTATTTCAGAGGGCGAATGTAAGAATAGTCAATAAAATATATGAATAGATGCCTAATTTCATGACTTATTAGAAAGTCAAATGAAGACCACAATGAAATTCCACTTTGCACTCACAGGACTAGAAAAACATGAAAAATACTGAGCTATTAGTAAGAATGTGAAACAGTGGGAACTCTTGGGCCCTTTTAGTGGGAGTACTAGTGGCAAACCATGTTAGAAGAAAATTCTGAATTTCAAAGTAAAGTTAAAGATATGTATGGTCTATGAGCTCCTCCTAGGTATGTAAACTCCACAATGGTTCTTGAAGGGAAAGTTGGTGAACTATGTGCCTCAGGATCAAAGGGGAAGCTTGTAAAGATGCAGATTTCTGGATTCCACTGCAACCTTGAAAGCTGACCATGGATCTGAGGGATCTGATGATCTGACAGGAGGGGAATGAGAGGGGGAGGGGAGGTGTAAAAATAGGAGGGGGATTATGACTAAGGCTACCAGAGGGGGATATGATGCGTGGGAGCAAGGGAAAGGGGCTCTAATGGAGGATCACTGGGACTTTGGTGATAGGTGTGGTGAAATAACATGCAATTAGAGGTTACACCTATACCCCTAAGACACATACTGTGATGTAAATCAACATCACTCCAATAAATACAACACCACAAAAAGAATCCTCAGGGATAGAGTCTGGGAATTTCTGTAGGGGCTCCAGGTAATTCAAATGCATACTAAAGTTTGAGATCCACTGTTCTAGGGGACCCCCTGCAAATACACAGCATGAGACAAATACAGGAGGCTTTATAGCTAGAATGCTTTAAAAAAGAACAGGAAACTACTCAGATATGCATCAATAGCAGAACAGATAAGTAAATTACAATAAATTCATACAACACAAAACTATACAGTAACTATATTCATTCATAGATTTCAGGAACAT